ACTCACTCATAGAACATGCTTTAGTAAGTGGAAAGGAATTGAAGTTATCCCCTGTACATTATCAGACCATAGTGTGATGAAATTGGAGATCCATAGCAAAAGAAACCACAAGAATTTCAAAACACATGGAAAATGAACAACACACTTCTGAATGACCAGTGGGTCACAGAGGAAATTAAAGAAGAAATCAGACAGTTCCTGCAATTAAATGACAATGACAGCACAACATATCAGAATCTATGGGACACGATGGAAGCAGTCTTACAAGGAAAATTCATAGCACTGAATACTGATATTATGAAAATAGAGCAAGCCCAATTAAACAACCTGATGCTGAACCTCAAGCTTCAAGAAAAAGAACAGCAGGACAAAGCCAAAGCTCACACAAGGGAGGAAATTATAAAGATCAGGGCAGAAATCAATGCAATGGAGTCTAAGAGCATGATACAAAAAAATCAATGAAACCAAGAGTTGGTTCTTCAAAAGATAAACAAAATTGACAAACCCTTAGCCAACCTTGTCAGAAAAAGGAAAGAAAAGGCTCAAATCCATGCAATTAGGAATGAAAAGGATGAAATTACAGTGGACCCAGCAGAAAACCAGAGGATCATCAATACCTATTTCGAGAACTTACATGCCAATAAGATGGAAAATATCAAAGAAACGGACAGATACCTAGATATATATGAATTACCCAAGTTGAACAAAGAAGACCTAAAAATTCTAAACAATCCAATAACAATCAATGAAATTGAAAATGTAGTTAAAAACTTGCCAATTAAGAAAAGTCTGAGCACTCATGACTTCACTACCGAATTCTACAAGACATTTAGAGAGGAACTGCTGCCACTACTGTTTAAACACTTCATTGAAATTGAAAGGGAAGCAATACTTCTGAATTCACTCCTGGAAACAAGCATCACATTGATCCCCAAAGCAGAGAAAGGCCCATCGGAAAAAGAGAACTACAGGCCAATCTCACTAATGAGCATACATGCAAAAATCCTTAGTAATTTCTTGGCAAATAGAATGCAGAAGAGTTTTAAGATTATACACCCTGACCAAGTGGGATTCATCCCAGGGATGCAGGGATGGTTCAACATAGGAAAATCAATAAATGTAATACACTATATCAATAGAGCCAAGGACAAAAACCGTATGATCATCTCAATAGATGCAGAAAAATCATTCAACAAAATCCAACACAAATTTATGATAAAAGCCTGACAAAAAATTAGAATAGATGGTCTCAACCTCAAACTGATAAAAGCCATCCATGAAAAATCAACAGCCAATACCATACTAAATAGTCAAAAACTGAAATCCTTCACACTAAAATCAGGAATAAGACAAGGATGTACACTACCACCACTCCTGTTCAATACAGTTTTGGAAACATTAGCAACAGCAATTGACAAGAAAAAGAAACAAAAAGAATAAAGATAGGAAATGAAGAAGTCAAATTGTCATTATTTACCCATGACATGATACTCTATGTAGAAGACCCAAAATCTTTACCAAAAGTCTTCTAGACTTAATAACCAAATTCAGTAAAGTAGCTGGATACAAGGTCAACACACAAAAATCAATAGCTTTCCTCTACATGAACA